CACACACACACACACACATACATCTCTATCTCCAGGATCAGAAGCTGGCATCCCACACTCTTCATCATGCGCTCCTACCCTGGGGGGGGATGGTACGGGAGATTAATTAAAATCCAATTAATTAAAAGAGTGGGCAGATGGATTACATAAGGAAAAAATTGTCTATTCATGCAAAGCCAAATGACATTGCAAACTGAAACGTAATAAATAACTCATTAAATAACTCAGCTCCATAAAAAACATGATTCAGTGGAAGTAAATTTTATCTCTTCAATTGAATTTCAGATGCCAGTTGGACCGCATGCTTTTGGGAGACTGATAATGCCCTTACAGTCTTTTTTTATAGTATATTTCTATGAATATTATAATCTGTTAACCCATGGTTGGTATTTCATACCACACATTTCAGGAAAAATATGTGTTTAATATTAAGGGCATTGACATAAAGAGGTGAATATTTGTGTGATCTGTTATTATCTGTGAAAGGTTACACCAGTTAACATTTCGGTAACAGTCCAGGTGTAATCATTCAGGCATCAGAGATCCCATTCCGCTAATAGCAGGCTACTGACCCCTCTTATCATTCACGTGTCTCAGGCTTCAAGGACGATCTGCCCCAAATTCACATGATGACCTCGAGCATCTCCTTCCGTTTGAGTCTACTGTGGGTTTGGAGCTCTAACAGCGGAATGCAGACATTCAGGTTCAGTGTCACACTGTCACAGCCCCCTATCCCCTCGGTCCACTCCCATCGCCAAATTTAGAATTTATAATCAACTTCAGTGTTATTGCAAAAAGTACAATTACCCAGGCAACGAAACGCTCTTTGACACCTAATTCGAATGTGCAAACTTAGTGCAAAAGTGCTAGATACATCTGTACGAAATATATATGGGTGATAATAAAATAGCTAGTAAATGTACAAATGTACAATAGTTAGAAAATGCAAATTTCCTGACACCGGCGGATCACGCATCTCATTCACAAGCTTCACAGCTAACGGAGCAGTACGTATAAGTAAGATATGACGGAGAGAGGCACAAAGACATCCTGTGCCACAACCTCAGATAAAAGTCCGGCACGCACTCCGAACAGCTACTAGCGGCACAAATTTGGTCGCCGGAAATGACGTGGTATGACGGACCTCGACTCCGTGTCCGAGATCCATGTCGGTTTTCGCCTCCGATTCGGTGCCCGCAGTACATGTCAAGGAGCGCCCCCGCGTGGCGCGCTGTGAAAGTGCGGCCACATTCCCATACTTACTAAAACAGTGGGCTTTCTGTTCTGCCTCTTACTCCAAATGGTATACATAAATAAACATAAAATTACCGACCCAAATGCAGGAAGAACAAAACTTTCTGTTCTAACATGCATAAATCTGTTGAACGTATTGCGTAAAATGTATTGTGCACGGTAAATAGACGTCTCTATAAGCGGTAAGCAAATACGCCTGAATAGGAAATTGTGTGACGATAAAATATAACACATGCAAGCACTAACCATTCACTAGCTTTTTATTCAAGTATTTCATGTAGTTTTAGAAATACCATTAACATAAATACCCTCAGGGCTGACAACTTTGGTCAGCTGGCCGGAGTGAGATGTTCAATTCGAGAAAGGTCTGCACACACATGCAGACGCATTTACATTATGTAACAGTTTCTTACCTTGTAAGTAGTTGGTAGGGTTTGCAAACAGCCCCGACGCTTCTGATTTAGTTTTGGGGACTTATAACTGAATAATACTGATTTGTCGTAAGATTTCTTGCAGGATCGTGAGAGTCATAAAGCATATGAGCGCCACCCCAGACGCGTGACAGTTAGCAACCCTGTAACTTTAAATAGCATTACAATCTGCCTGAGTCTTCCAACTCATGTCTGCCCCCAAAACGCACTGCACCTTACCCCCACTATTTACCTCGTTGGCGGTGAGCCCCTTAGATGGCTCCACATAGCCGTTGCGGGCTGGTCAGGTTACGTGGGACCAGATCTAGGCGTAGGCAAACTAGGCAGGTGTCGAGGGTCCCATCGGCATTAGTGGGCCCAGGCCATTCCCCGGTTGGCGAAAGGGGAATCCCACAAGTGAGCGATCGAAATATATTTCTGCAGCTGGGGGTGTCTAGGAGCCCCGTAAAGGTAGATCCGCCCCCTCCCCTGACTCGGCTGTTGCATATGGTCCCCGTTACCCTATTCCTCTCCTGGGGATCGCTATTGCTCCGAAGTACAAGTGTGCGATTTGACGATATTACATCTTGAACGATTAAAACGTCTCCACGATCTGCTTTACAGAGAGATCGTTAGTATCCCACGATAGTGCACATTCTGTCAGTTTCAATTCAATGGCTTATTCACGCATGTAAACTTCTTAGTCAGCCAAATCCGTTTCTACACAGCGGTAAACCGGTAATAGCAAGCAGCAGGTATAGTGCTCAGCAGGCTGCCACCAGAACCCTCATCACCACAAGCAGTGGGACAAGAATGATGCAATACCACTATAAATTGTATTCTACAAATCAGAAATTGCACTGATTTATATTTGCGGAGCTTACATTAATGTTAAAATATATGTCGTTAACGACATTAATAATGAAACACTTAAACTGAAAGACCCCATACCGTGTTAACATAAACAAAATGCTTGGAGTACATTAACAAAAACTCAGCACAAAATAAACCCACCGGGATACGGTTTAGTATTGGTGTTATACCTGCACTGTGATTTTAGAGAAACCACAGACTAGCTGATGGTTGAATCAAATGCGTGGATGAAATGTCAATATACTGAAATTTGAATATAATGAAAACTAAATCGCAGTGATATTAAACTTAATACCTAACAAATCACGTTATTAAAACAGATTCCGGACTTTCATTTAAAATGGTATTTTATCAAGCATTCTACAAGACAACTAAGTAACGTTATTGCCCCTGGGGGCCACGTGTACTCCCGTTATTTAGGCCTATACACCAAAGTCTGTCGCTTATCCGATACCTTTATTCAGCAGTATAATAAATGAACAAGCAGGTTTGTGCCTGAAACATCAATAAATCTAGAAATTCATAGAGCAAATCCAGCTTAGCTGTGACTCATCATGAACTCATATTATAATTAGCTTATATCGTTTTATTGAGGCTTCTATTGCA